AATACATTTGGCATTTTTATTTTTAATTTTTATATAAATTTCACTTACTATTTTTTCAAAAGGGGCTATAAAATATTATTTAGTCACATTTTTAATATTCATATTTTTATTTGTACTAACTTAAGATATTATATTTCATTTATTTACTAATTGAATACATATATGGTAATGTTAAAATGAATATATTAGAATCTAATTATGTATTCATAAACTATTTTATTTATGATCAAATACCAGTATGTTAGTTTCATTTTATAAAATTAGCTATTACTTAAGGAAAAAAATTTGGCAATGTCTACAAAAACTTGCTATTTCATTTCTTTGATTTAATAAATTATTTTCTAGAAACTTAATAATTAATAATAAACATTCACACTGTTCACACAGGGAAGGTTTGCAGGACCCAATATAAAGTGCCTCCAGCACCTTGAGATGAAATAGAGACTGTGACCAGGACACAACAGTGAACCAATCAGCACTAAAATTAGCAGCACACCCTCTGTTATTTAAAAGGCATATGGCATATGTATTTGGGACAAGTCCATTAAAAGATAAGGTGTGATTCCTGATCTTAGTGAGAACATGTTGTTTGAGTCTCATGTCCAGGTGTTGAGTAGTGTATATATATATATATATACACTTGTCTTGCTCCGCTTTCTAACTTGATCTCTGTTATGAGAATGGATGTAGTCTCATTGTAGAGATCCTAGAGTAGAATGTAAGCAGGATCTATTCCTTGGTTCTCCAGTGCTCTGAATAGTAGGGTGAATAATGGAGTTGAATGCCTTTTCATAGTCAATGAAGGCAAAGCAGAGTAGAGTTGTATTTGTTTGCTTTTGTTACAAGGCTCTATTTTTGTCCTACTTCTTTACGCTTATACTATAAAATACAAAATCTAACTTAAAATGATGACTTAAATCTGTAGCTACTAGATGACCTTTTTACCTTACGAAAAGCTCCCATTCACCAAACACTTTAGATTTTGTAATAATAGAATGAAACTTTCTAGAAGTCTCTAGAAATTTCTACTGAGTTCTAGAGGGTCCAAAAAACATATATAAACAGAAGCTCGTATCAACTAACCAGTTGCCTCCTGAACCCACAGCTATGACTATTGAGGTCAACTCTAGTCCTTTTGATTCAAGAACAAAACTTTGACCAAAAGAATCTAAATTCCTACAGTCCTCAAAAAGAAAAGACTATTGGTAAATACTTCACCCCTTTCCTTGATATTATTGAACAAACTCTTTTATTTTATATATATGTGAATTAATCAAACTATTTTTAAGAAGAAGAAAATATAATTCTTGAACTAGCGATGAATTCCCATCCGTTGCCTTAATCTTAACTACAGTGGATTTCCTCTCCTAATCCCTTGTATGTTTGCACGTTAAGCCAACTACTTTCTGGGATCTTGCATGTTTAGTAACTTGTTAGCATTTCCTAACTTATATTGTTTTAAATCTCATCCCTATTGCTCTAAAATATATTGTATTATATGTAAAATAAAATCCGCATTTCATTACTAGATGTAATCTCTTTTCTACGAATCTAGTTCTTCTTATTTTGTGTTGCACCAGCTCTAACATTTTCTCTTATATCTGACTAACTACCAGAATATGGTCTATTGTTGAGGATCCCGTGTGCTCCCTTGTTTGGTGTAGTTCTAATGTACTGAGAATCGTCCTGAGTAGAATGTATGAAAACACCTTGTAAATGTTGGGTAGGAGGTTGATCAGGTTGTAGTTTCTGAGGTTTACTTTAATACATTTCTTGAGGATTAGGACTATTACAACATTCTTCCAGTTGTTTTGTTTTCTTCTAAACATCTGTTGAAGACATCAGATGATATGACAAAGAGCCTTAGAAGAGAATAAAGGATTGAATTCAATCAAAAGGGACCAGTGTCTAGGCAAAAATAACACCACTTTGTTGGAAAAGAACAGCAAACTCATCACAGGCTTCTAAAATGGTGCAAAGAATTCTATAAGAAAACATACAGCACAAGATTCCCCCAGGACCAACCATTCTCCAGTAAGAAAATCTTAAGAACAACCACACAACCTCCTCCTCCTCCTCTCATTCCATCAAAGACAAGAGCAAGAATTAAAAGATTCAAGAGAGAAGGCACCAGGCAAAAACAACCTCACCATAGGTACCTTCCAAGATGCTGAAGAATTCATTGTCATGGTACTCAACAAGACATTTTCAATGGTGTTTTGTCTCAGGTGTTGTTATTTTTTTGCTCATGTTCCTATAGAAGTGTCCAAAAGTGCTTGGGATAATAAAAATTATGGATCATTTTTATATTCCCTAACTCCTAGAAAATGGAAAAGTGTTAGGATGTGGGAAGAACAATAAAAAATTAATTTAATCTTCTTTGTCGGGCGTGTTCAATGAAAGATATTTGAAATGTATTTATATACTAGCAGGCTTTGCCCACTCACTAACACTTCACAAAGTAAGATATATTCACTACTTGAAATCTTTGAAACAAAAATTTTCAATGAACATTTCATTAATAAAATTTGCTTGTTATAGTTAAGGAAAGTTTTACAAATAAATGTCAACTTGTTGAAGGCCAAGTAGAATGCAAATTTCAAAGACTTTTCTGCACTATATAAGATGATATTCCTAAACAGAACTATTTTTGATATGGAAATCAAAACAATCCTCAAATAAAAGAACAATAATGAAGGACAGCTAATTAATGAAAAAAGAACTTTTTTAAAATCAATATGCAAATTAGTTAAGCCTGAAGAGGGATATTGCCTAGAAGTAGATAATATATAATACAGATATTGAAGTTTTGGTATGTAAATTACTCTTTTTGAGTAGTTACATGTTTACTTATCATCTCTCAGTTGTGTCTCTGTCTTTGGGCAGAGTACACTCAGGGGTGACTTGGTCAAAGGATAGTCACAACTGAAGAAAATTATACTAAGAGGTGCCGGCCCTGGGGAACAGCTGCCCAAGGCCACGCCTTATTGCACTAGAGAGAAGGATCGGTGCACGCACTAAGGCCAGTGCAACTGATGGTTGTGGGGGCTCAGGGAATTTTTGTTCCTTGCCCGGGTGTATGCGCTCAGGCTCCCCACATTAAACTGACCTTGTGTCACAACCTGACCTCGTGGTGGGTTGAGTAAATACAAATTACTCTTTTTGAGTAGTTACATGTCTACTTATCATCTCTCAGTTGCGTCTCTGTTTTGGGGCAGAGTGCACTCAGTGGCGACTCGGTCAAAGGACAGAGGAGCAACTGAGGAAAATAATACTGAAGAGGTGCCCAGCCCTGGGGAACAGCTTCCCAAGGCTGCGCCCTCCCATTGCAGCAGAGGGAGGGATTGGTACTCGCAATGATGCCAGTGCAACTGATCTATATACATCAAATCTTTAAATTAAGTAGCCACAGAAGAATTATTTTTGAACTTTTAAAAGGTAAGCTTAAACATTAATTCAATACTTAAATGCAGTGATCAATTTTGAGTTCTTCTGTATTTTATTGATTATTATTGCATCTACTCCTCCCTAGCTATTGTGATGATGGCCAAACTAAGAATCCTCCACAGGGGCTAGCATGATGATGCCTGATAGTGCAGATTTTAGGCTAGTTTATAATAAAACATGCACTGCAATTTTGGATACAAAAGGAAAACCATGAAAGCAACGATAATGGCTAGTATAATGTATTAATATATATTTTTAACCTTGCATAATCTGGCAACCCTGAATCTGAGCTTAATGAAAATCGTTCCCTTCGCCTAACTTTTCTAGGGCTTTTCAATGAGTTATGAATCATTGAAATTAGACCAGTAGGAGTGGAGGAGTTGCTTGGACACAGATAAACACACACTGTACTTTAAGATGTACATGTCAATGATTGGGGCCTCTTGAGGTGTTGGAATGGTTAAGCAAGCTTGTCTCACTAGATCGGTTACTAGAATAGTGGGTTCGATCTTCACTGGGTGCTCCATATTTTCGACCTTGAACCACATCTAAATTTAGAAAATCGCTCAATGACTGTGAATTAAAACCTAGATGTTTATTGCTCAACTTACTCTTTCATTGCATATTTTTTTATGGATAATCAATACATCTATCTCAATCAGTTTATGAAATTGATTCTTAATCTTAATTATCGGTGTTTTGGTTGTTAAATATCTCAATGACTAGAAAAGAATTAAAAAAAAAAAGAAATATTTTTTGACAATTTTTTTAAAAATTCTTAGATTTTTATATATATATATAAAATTTAAAAAAAAATACTGCAAAAAACTAAAAAGAATCTGCTATTTTCTTTTATAAACTTAAAAAGGTAGAGGTAACAAATATATATATATATATATATATATATATATGGCAAATCATTGATAATTAAGCCGAATAAAAAGAAAATTAAAAAAAAAAAAGAATAAAGCATAACACAACGTATGGATGGATTTTTTTTAAGTAGTCCCTCCCCCCCAAGCTTCATAGAAATTTAAAACGTGTTTAAAGTGTGGAACGACACTTGTTTCTACTTGATTTATATAGGGATTAAACATTAGTACTAATATATAATTCTTTATTATTAATGCTGTCGTTATTGTTATTAATTTGGGTCAAAATATCTTGTTTTGTTTCTTTTTAGATGATATGAAAACAAGTTGTCGATAAGGATGCCTCCCCTTTGCATGCTGTCGATTTCTGTTGAAAATACAAACTGCTCCCTTGTTGACGTAGCGGAAACTCGAGACTGACTATAAAAAATGCTAAGATTCTCACTGATTGCCTCGCCTTGTCGTATTGCACTGCTACGATGTAATAAAAAAAAACAAGAGGAAAAAAAAAACAACAACGTTAAAAAAGCGTTGTCTATTTGCAAATAGAAGCCCTATCTAATTATTCACAACATCGATAGGGATATATCTTACATGATCGGTTATATATTGTCAAAATTTAGACATTGTGAATTACACATATTCAGAAAAATATAGAAAATATACACGTTGAATTTCCAGTTCGCCATGGATCGACCCACAAAAGACAAACCTCGCAGGTTCGTTTTCTCTTTTTCTGTTTTTAAAAGCACTTCTTTGTTGATGTTTTTATTTAAAAACAAAAAACAAAACTTAATTTGCTTATAAATGTTTAATCAATTATTATAGAATTCAAATTTATTTCTATTTTATTTTTCTGTTATGATTGGATCAAAGTTTACATTTCTTTAAAAAAATACATTTTTTTTCATACCCTATTTTTATTTCATTATTTTTGTTTTCTGTTGTAAATATTCAGAAAAATGTATTTTTGTTTGTGTCTAGTTTATTTGTTCAAATATGTTCAGTAACATTGGTGTTTTATTTTTTTTGGTTCAGTCTTTTAAAAGTTTTATTTAGCAAAGACTTTGTTGAACTCGTTCAGAAAGATGACATGATTTTTTTGATTTTTTTTTTGTATATCTCAGCAATTCTTTGATACACTTATTTCTTGACACATTTATTTTTCTTCTTTAAATTAAAATCATCTTTCTCTTTTTTTTAATCTTATTTTGCCTTCTCAAATTTTGTTTTTAATCAAATATCTATCTTTTAAAACATAACATGTCGACCTGAAATTTGTTTTAGTTAACAACCCTTTAAGAAGGCTTTTTAAAACATGCCATGGTTTTTTTTTTTTAATTTTTACTAATTTTGTTTCGTTTTTTTAAATTTTTTAACTCCATAATCATGTTTAAAAAACGTTATTATTTCACTCTGGCTTTTACATACTTCGAAACAATTGTCAATATTTTCATTCCAACACGAAACTTGTAATGTTGAAACTAGAGAAAGGATTCATTTTAAATTTCCTTCCTTATTATTATATTATAGTTCTTTAAAAATATATAATGATGCTGTTTATTTTTCTTATTTCTTCTTAGTGTTTCATTCTAACTTATAAACCTCATCCCTTTCTTTATTTTTGTACAAATATGCTTTAATTTTGCATCGACCTTGTAAAACCAAACGAGTCCCTATTTTAAGAAGGTAACGAGTGATCTGCTTTTGAAGTTTATTGCTTTCCTTTTTAACTTTTAAAATAAATATCTTTATTATTGCTGAATATCTTGGAGAAAACTTCAAAATGTATCGACCACTTCTTAATTAAACTCTTCTTAATTAACCCTAATTATTTAGCTATATTAATTTATTTTAAACCTCTTTGTCGGTTACCTTTAATTGTTGGCTAAATTAAGAAAATAAACTTTAAGTAACAGACTTATTGAATTTACACCTTTTTATTTTTTTCTTAATATATTGTTATCCACGTGTTCGGTGATTGTGATGTAAATTTATCACAAGCAAAATTTAAAGTTTCTTTTTTTATTTTTATTTTCTCAAATAGAACAAACTTAGAAAAATAATGCAGAAAATATTTGAAATAAATGACTTTTTTTTTTAAGTGAAGACGTTTTTGTTAAAAGAGGTTTTACTTTTCTCTCAGGTGTTGAATCAAGTGTTATCAAATTGATCAATTGCTGCACTCCATATTTAAATTAAATAAATTTTAAAAACTCTTCTTATCCGGTCTCCCTTAGTTTTTAGTCTTGGAAGTTTCTTAGTGTGGCATAAAAGAAAACCCACTACCGTCTGTGTAGTGCACCATGAATTAAAGATTGAAGACAAAGTCAATAGATTAGGGATCGATCTTTAGGGCAAGCTTGTTAACCATAGCTCTACGGTAATTGTATATAACATTCATTACCACATTAATAAATTCTATATTTTTAAAACTTTGTGCTTGGAGATTTTTTTTTTAATTAATACATTCTGATTAAAGCTAAAAAATAAAGATTACAACACAATATTGACTTATCAAAATATTTAACGGCAGTGTACGATTCATCTTGGACAGAATTCATTACAAATCCTGTTTTTAAGAATTGTTAACTGAACATTTCATTTATGTAGATAGGGATTCAAAGTTAAAATTCTTCATTTTATTTTAGCAGAAAAAAAAAGTGATTTTTTTTTTTTTTTTTTTTTTAGTAGTAGTAGTTTTTGGGATATGTTGATAGGACAATTTATATTTTTAAATAATGAATGAAAAAAGGGTGGAGATTAATAGTGTAGTAATAATTGTCATTAGTTATTATTACTCTTTAAAATTTATAATTTCTTTTTTTAATTAGAGGGCAGAACATCCTACCATAATATTCTTCACTCTTCAGTGGTTGAGAATAAAAAACTATATTTTTAATGTAGTTGTAATTATAGTTGTTAAACCTGTCCTTTAACAAATTATTCTAATTGTTTTTTAATCTATTTTAAATTAATTTTTAAAAATATTTTGAGCTCACTACATAGTTCCTGTAAAAACCTGTTTTAATCACTTCAATTTTTTTGTCCATTAGATTCTGGTTGTAGCTCTCTGTAATGCAATTCTTGGAAGCAATTGTCATGAAAATACCATTTTTATTTTTTTTTTTACCTGCTCTTCAGACTTATTAACAATATGGTTTACTTCACTTACTCTTGGAATACTGATGTAAAAAATTAAAACTTAAAAAAGGTTTATTTTTATATACACAAATTCCCACATGCTTTCTTGTGTGTGTATATTTGCTTTGATGGGTTGATTAGTGACTAGAAAGACACATTTTATTTTTATGCCATATGATCATTTTTCGATCCTGTGTAGTGTAAACGAAATATTTTACTCAACCAAAATTATTACTAGTTATCAGGTGCTTCTTGGCATGATTTGAATAATTACCAGAATGACACCCTCATCATTTTTCTTTTTCTCTCTTATCCCCCCACCAAAAAAAAAAAAAAATTAGAGATGAAAGGACAATCGTCTGGTTTTCTGCTATATCTCTATAAAGGAAAAACATACCATTTATTATCTAGTTTATTCATTAATTTCTTACTACAATCTTACTTAGTAGTTAGATTGTTTTTAAAGTATTGATAAAATATCTAAACAACATAATTTTTCTGAAATTGTAAAAAATATCTTTCACAAACTTCTATTTATTATAAATTTAACATAATTAGTTTGATTATGTCCCACAAGTTTCAGATTGTGTATGAAATGTAACAGTTACTATGGAATAGAAAGGATCATTGTTTTTATCAATAATGGAGATGAAATGACAGTGTTTAACTTTTAATTTTTGTTTGCAATTATATTATTTTAAGGTAATCTTTAGTTCTTATTAGTTTGTGCTAATCTGATACAATGCTGCATTTTTGTGAGCAAATTGTGAAGATCAAATCTTAGTATTTGTGAGGTCATATTAATCACAATTCAACCAATATAATTACTGTTAAGGTATTTTTGCTTACTCCAGGTTTGTGTAATATCAAATCTTCAAAAAAAAAGCTTTTTAAAAATATTAAATATTTTGCTTCATCTTCCTTCAAAGGTTTTAGTATTTATAATTTGAAATCAATTCTTGCTTTTATCTATATATATATATATATATATATAGATATATTACTCGACTCTCCTGTTGAATTTGACATATGAAGGTCAAGCAGATCAGTTCCTAGGAACTGACAGCCCAACACCAGCATATTAGATTTGATTATAGTGGTGAAGGTTTTGTGCAGAACCATCCACCCTTTTTGAAGGGCCAAATACAGAGACCTGGTGCACTATGTACCACAAGGTCCCCAAACGACCCTCTGCAGGTTTTGAATTCAGTGGTGTCCTTCTCCAAGACCTGTTGCCATCCAAGGCTATAGAACCCAGTCTGGCCTGCTATTTACCCATAGCTGGAGGTAGAAGAGGAGGATTCATACCTTTCCCAAGTGGTATTAGCACATAAGTGAATGTAATGGATTCAACTGTAATTTGAACACAGCTCTCCGATTTCTCAATCCAAGCCACTAACTGTGCCTACAAATAGTTTTGACAAATATTTTTCCAGATGTGAAAAACTATAATTATAGACATGAACCAGGTTTGATTGGAAAAGACCATTTGAAATCTTGAGAGGGTTATTAAAATGCCAACTTTTGAGCTTACTATTTATTCACATTGTCCAAATAATGTTGCCTGTTTGTCCAAGAAAAATGATAAATTCCTTCCAATTGTTTTGAAACCATTCCTTAAGAGTACATTTTTTTTTATTTATTACACTAAATATAATAGTTGCTGGTATTTAACTATTACCAAGTCAATCTCCAATCTTTTAGATTGGGACACATGTTCATTGAAGTAAGTTGATCTATATTATAAGTGGAAAACCCACGTTCTACTTGTAGATATAGGTTAACCTTGCATACCAAACTGTAAACAAAAAAATAGAGAATGTACTTATAATATGGAGTGTTATTCCATTAATTATTTAGACTATCTTCATCACTAATTTGGCTAGTGCATAACGGATTTAGAGGTTTTTGTGTACTATTTGAATCGTTTGCAAGATGGATGTCTTGCCATTTAAATCATTAACCTTTGCATTAGTTTTGTATGAATAATTCATGTATATATATATATATATATATATAATTATTATTATTATTATTATTATCATTATTTTCCATTTATTTTTAATTAAAAAAAAAATTGATATTTTTGGTATTGGGTCAGAAACAATTGAAGGTTACCTAAAGAAACATAGCTCTGAAGAAGGCTGGATAACCCATTGGTCAAAAGAAATAATTGGTGATGCTTATTAAATTCATCAAATATTGAGGGGGGGGAATGTGAATGAATTCCAGTTTTCAACAACTCTTCAGGAATAATCACAAACTCTTTACAAAATTGACAGGTTTTAATAAGTTCTCGGAACTTACAGAATTAAAAATATATTTTTTTAGTTTATGCAGGAATAGTTATTTTGGAGATTTGTAGTTGCTTTTGCAACAAAAAAATGTAGGAAGTCACTTTGATTTGTAAAGTTCAGTGAAATAATGAATTTGAATAAAACATTCTGTATTTAATCATTGGTTGAATTTATGAAAATGTTACTGGTTAAAAAAGAATGTTTATGTAAGTAACTTCTATGCTATTTTATGAATTATTAATAAATATCAAATGGGACATAAAAGAATTTGAACTATT